AATGTTGTCCAACAAAACAATACATATTAAAGGCTATGAAAACAAATAAAGTGATTGTAACCATGTAAACCTTTATATTATGTGCAAAAAAATCACATTTCATTCTAACATTGTAACATTGCAATCTAAAATCAAAAATAAGGCTTTTAAAGCGGAAGTTAAATTCACTAAACTAAAAAGGAAAAAAAATGAGAACAAAAGCACAGAGTTGTGTTAGGCTATTTTGATTACCCCATTACAGTCACTTTACAGTCAGTGCTATCATAAAAATTTTTAAAGGCCTTAATATAAAGCTTGTCACATGTTTAGAACAAATTGAATTATGCACTTTCACCGCAGCAGCTCAGTCTGTGTCCTCCGCTATATTTTCAGATGCGCTCGTATCAAACTACTGTATATCGATATAAACGGTATTGCCTCATATCAAATCGCTTATAAAGAAAACATCGATATATCGTACATCGATATATCGTACCGCCCAGCCCTAGCTATTGGTAGCCAGTGCAAATTGATGAACAGAACAATGACCTGACCTTACATGGGTTGTGTATGTACATTACCATTTAAAAGTTTGGGCTTCTAAGATTTTTTAGTGTTTTTGAAAGAAGTCTCTTCCGCTCAACAAGGCTGCATTTATTTAGTCAAAATGCATTAAAAACAGTGGAATTGTGAACTATTGCACTTAGAAACTGTTTAGAAAAAATAACTGTTTTTATACAGTTTTTAGTATTTATAGTGTTTTGAGCCCAGAAGCAGCTTTATTCTGCTTCAATAACCAATATTAGGGTAAAACAAAAGCAGATGGAATTTGCAAATTTGATTCACCAGAGGCCTTTATATTGCATTTCTAATTACCATATGAAACTTGTAATTGGGGGATATAAGAACCACTCACTCTCTTGGTTCTTAACTTAAGTTTTTATAGTCGGATGTATTTAATACTTCAATAATTTGAAACTGAACATTAACACAGAGTTAATCATTCGTAGTAATTGTATGGCTAATTGTAATTACAGACTTGCTTCTCATTTAAATTGACAGCATTGAATCAGTGGTATCAGTCAATTATTTTTTTTATATTACAAATTCAGATGTATGTGTGAATACTGAATGTAGTATGTAGTTTAGCAAAATGTTAACAATTTAAGATGCAAGCTATAACATGCAACAAAACAAACTGAAGGGTTTGCATCATATTGATTGGCAACTGTGAGGAGATTATTACACAAAAACTATATTACTTAAATTATTTATTGGACATTAGTGCCCTGGTTATTTCTTAAACCAAGAAGCCACTGTGATTATACCTCTTCATATTGACAACCTGCTTCTTCCATGGTAAAAATCACTAGCACATGGCCTCTTGTGGGTTAATTTTGTATTTGTGAAGTTCCTTTTTCTTTGTGCAGTATTCTGGAGATTTTAATACTAGCCTTTGTTTTAAGGTAAGATTTACCACGCTTATCTTATGGGTATTGGATTGAGAGGCTGTTGGGCAGAGGCTGGATTTAGTGCATATTGACATTGTAATAACGGAGATATGAGGACTATAAATAATCTCTATAACGTTCTAACTTTCAGTCGGTTTGATCTGTGTTGCCCCTCTTGAGTTCCTGGGCCTTGAGGTATTATGATGATCGCTGAGCGGTTGTGCTCTACAGCCAGGCTGATTATTAAGAAGAAAGAGCAAAAAAAAAAAAGTCGCTTTCCATTATTGCTTTCCACGTTGGAAAATTAGATCTACCGAATGGATTTCTGCAGAGCGTGTGAGAGTAAGCGAGCATACGTCACGCTGTCATTAGTCGGCGCAGTCGCCGTGGCTGTGGTTCTGCTCCAGATCAGTTGAGTTCTGCCCAATGCTGCATGTGTGCCAGCTCTCTCTATCTCACAGCCTGGCATCCTGCCCACCCCTGCCCAGCCAGACCCAGATGGAGGAGTGAGTGAAGCCCTCGCCCCGAGGAAACACTTCTATCTCTTCTCAGCAGTGCTGCTGTCTCTTCTCGCTTTCTTCTCTGTCTGTGCACTTTTTCAGAAAGTCACAAACATGACTCCAGGTATTGGCGGCTGGGATTTAGCCAGAGAGACTCAGATGTCAGGAGCCAGAGAAGAAGTCCAACCGGTCTCCTCCTCTTTTTGATATAAGGACACTGGGCAACCGAGCTCTCAGTGGAAGACATTTTTAATGCCAGTTCTTTTCCTGTTACACACTAACTTATTCAATTGAAATTTTTATTTTAGGAAGTTTAGATTGTACCTGTCCAGTTGTATTTGGTTTTATTTTGTCTTGGTTTTCACCAAAGCTTTGTGATACCAATTCAGATTTTTCTGCGTTTTCTGAAAAAAACTCCAGATGATAAATGAATTGCATACAAACAAATTTGCCTGACCCACCAAAAAAACACCCCCCCAATCTAAAAAAAAAAACCCCACCATTTTATTTCCTAAAGGATAGCCTGTATTTTTACATAAATTACTGTGGTGTTATACCATATTCAGTGTTGGTACTTTTTTTTGTCAATTATATAATTTAATTTTAACAGCTTTTTTTTCTCACCAAAACTGCATGATACCAATTCTGATGTTGTTTTAGGCCTTCTCTGAAAAAAGTTATAAATGAATTGTGTCTAAACAAATTTGCCTAGCCATCTGAATAACACCCCAAATTAGGGAAACCACCAACTTTCTCAGAATAATAACATGCGGTTTTAAGTACTGTACAAATGACCTTTTTATATTTTTATTTATATATATTTTTTTCTGTCACCCAGTTTTTTTAATCACTCAGCTGACTCACAGACCACTTTTTTGATTTTTGATTTTAATATTTTATTTATTTTTTAAGCCTCCAGTCAACTCGCAGACCACAGAAATCTTTCAACCACTGATATAGTCCAAGAAAGCATCTTGAAATATTATTGGTTTTGCCTCTTAGCTTGATAACATCAGCTTTGGGCATTTCAAAAAATATTTGAGTATTCAACTCGACATAAAGCTTGCTTTTGCTGTTACTGGATACCCTTGGGGCACTACTCTGAGGGAGGTTCTTTCATTTTGTACCTTCTGTATAAAGGCTCTTGCCTACTCAGCATTAGGTTGGCAACACTACAGTGGGGGAAATGGATTACCATGTCTGGCTTGGGAGGGGAGAGAGTTTTAGTCTAAGTGGGAAAAGCGGCAGAGTTATTCAGTGCGTGTTGACCCTTGACCCGCGGCACAGGCCTGCAGCAGCAGTACGGAGAGTGTCAGGAACTGCTGGGACTCTATCAGCAATACCTCTCCCAACAGCAAGAGAAACTCAACAAGTCTATCACCCTGCTCAATCAGTCCTGCTCCCACAGCAAGGTGAGTACTAAAAGAGAATGTGCCTGTGTGTGGGAGAGAGCGATAGAGAAAAGCCAGGAATGGCCCAGATTGAACATGTGCGTGCACTGAGTTTGTATCCTCTATGCTATGTTAAAATTTGGGCTGATCAGTCATGGCTTTGTATAACCATAACAGGAAGAAATGAATTTGTTTGCCCCACTAACTTAATATCCTGGCAGACCAACCAGTTTATCAGGTGACAGGTGATATTTGTTTGTTTTGAGATTTGAGTATTTGGTGAAATTAACTGTATTCTGTATATATAACTTAATTAATTTATATAAATATATACACACACACACACACACACATAAACTGTAGATATGTATAGTATTGACCTTGAACATGTATATGGTAACTCACTGCAGGCTGTTGCAAGTTTACCAGTAATTCCCTAAATTAGATTACGCTTATGTCATTTTCCCAGCTACAGGCACCTATTTTTTTTGTATTTGTCCCTCTGTCTTTCACATGGTCAAATAGAGAGATGAGACCACCAAGGTTGCCTGAAACATTAAATGGCATTCATAACTCATTTTACATCTGTAATATGACATTTCGAATTGAAAGAGAATATTTGAAAAAGAAAAATGAATGCTGCAGTTTAATTTTATCTATCTGAAGTTGTTTGGACATCGGCTGAATTCATTGCTCTGGCAAAACATTTTTTTAAATATATATCTTTACACATATACTGGAACCATTTTTGCAACTGAACTGTTCATACCAATTCTCAATTTTCTTGAAGAAAAATACATAAAGAAATTTATTAAGAAATGATAAGTGAATTGCATTCAAAAAAGTGCCTGGCCTGAATCTGAATAAAAAGCACTCCAAATCTAGGGGAAACCACCAATTGTCTAGCAATATAAAAACTACTCTTAGTTTAATACCCTATTCAAAGTTTATGCTTTTTGTTATTTACTTAGCCAATCAACCTGCAGACTCATAACTACACACAAATCTGTCATGCAAATCTTTCATGACAACCAGTGAGTCAGTGACCTATGCTGTCTGAACAGGGTAACGATCAGATATTCAACAAATAAAAAGCCTAAATATCCAGCTCCTTTTATTGCTCAAAACTATCATAGATCTCTGGATTATTCATAATAATGGTTGGTTGCTCACAGCAGGCGATTTGAAGTCCAACAGTAATTGCCTTAAAATGTGTTGAAGGTGAATTTGTTACAAAAGCGCTGTTTTGATGGCTCTAGCGGTGGTGCTTTTAAAGGGGATGGATTTAGAGAAGCAGCCTCTCAGAGAGGGGTTTTGGCATGCTGACACTTTAGCATCTATAACTGTTAACCTGTCAGCACACTAAAACCCTCTCAGAGAGGTTCCATCTCCAAATTCATCCCCTTCAAAGCACTGTCGCTACAAATATTAAAGCTAAAACAAAACAAGAAAACTCACTGACACTAAAAAACTCACATGTTGTTTTAGTTTAGACCGTGCACCCTGTGCACCCTTCATCTTAAGCTTGTATAAGAAAATGAGCTTGTCCTCTCCGAAACCTTGGCTGTGAGTAATGTATGTTTACATGCTCCGCAACCTCCTCTTGAATTAGTCAGCGGCCCATTTCTGTCCCCTGAGAGGCGGAAGATTCTCCTTTGTCCTGAATGTTTATCTCTTTGGTGATTGACCTTGGGTTGTTGCGTTCTCTTGGGATGAGCCCACCCTTTCTGACTCCCTTGAGTAAAACCTGCCTTTGTGGCCACATTATTAAATGGTCAGAGGTGACGTGTATACTTTTTGTACCTATGCCCTGTCCCACAGATTCCTAGCAGCGAGGGGGTGGCCAGGAGGTCTTGGGGTGGAAGAGGAACTGCTTTAGATGGATCTTACTTGGACCTCCCTTCATCAGGAAGCAAAACTGATAGAGGTGGGTCAGTGGAGTGCACTCATTCATTCTCAACGGGACCGTTCAGTGCACCCTCCAGCAGTGACCAGAACTGCGAAATCCATGACAGGCAGACCAATCACAATTCTGAAGGTGGACGTAGTGATCTCAGCTTCTCCAACAGGGAACCCTCAGCCTGTAATGCCCTGAGGCTGCATGGTGCCTCTGAACCCAAGTGCTCTCATCAGTGCCACAGAATGGAAAATGATGGCATGTGTGGTGCTAATCAAACTGGAATAGCACCACTGTCTGGTCGGGAGAACTGGGAAGAGAAACGACAATGCCTGCTCCTGCAGAAGAAACAGCTGGAGATGGAGAGGGAGAGAATTCAAGCTCGGTTGGCTCAACAGGAAGAGAAACTTTTGCTCCAGAACAAGCAACTCCGCCAGTCATACCTTCAGTACAGCAAGTAAGAGTCTGGCACAAACCATATGTTTAAATATTATTAGCATTTTTTAATGCATTGTTTGATTTAAAATAGAGAAAAGTTAATGCACCTATAAAGTATTTCAGTTTAGTTTACTGTAACCATGAGGGATAAGTTCAACTGTTTTTGATAGTAATCAACATTATGCAGCCTAACTTGAATTGAACCATGAACATTGTTTTAATTTGTCTCTTTTGAAGGCTTCAGCAAGCAACCACAACAGACTTTGAGAGACCTCTAAATGGAGACCGCAGTTTTAATGAGGGTCAACAATCCAGTTTTGTAATGGATCAGTTGACACACAGGTGAAGCTTGTTTTCAAAATTGCATTGAATGCAGAAAAGGGCTGGAGAGATGAAAAAAAATAAATAAATAAAAGTAATATTCAAGTATACTCTATGATTCAAATTTAGGTTCTGTATGATTTGTTTTTTAAAGCTGCAGTCTGTAACTTTTTTTGGTTAAAAATTATCCAAAATAAATTTTTGAGCAAGTACATGGACCAGCCAGTGTTCAAACCTATCGCCTTACTTTACCTCGATTCACAACGGTAAGCTTGTAATAAAGTTTTCTAATTTGAGTGGTACGGGTAGGTTTTCACGGGAAATTCGAGCATGGCGCTGCGTCATTACATCACGTCAGTAAACATAAAGAATTTTTCCCGGCTAGTCTGCTATATTGCACGTGAGGATGCTGCAGGTGACGGATCGTTTATAGCCTTTTCTCACAGCAGCTGGAATAAATAGCGAATTGTAATCCAGAAAGGTCGAAACGACAATCATCAGTGACTGGAGATTCACCCGTTGTCAAAACCAAAAGAATTAGTACTGAGAAGTGGCTACAGAAAAAAAGAGAATGCGACCGGGCCATTGCTAAAACAAGAATAAATATCGGCAGGGCTTTTGAAAGGTGGTGTGAACTCTGTGTTTTGAAGGGGTTTAAAATGGACGCAGACGGCTTTTTTTCTGCTGGACAGGTAAGACATTTCAATGGTTCATTGTGTAATTAGGTAACTGTAGCACTTGTTCACTTAATCAATACAGTTACGGAGTTTCTTATGTTGTGCTTTTTTTCTCGTCTTGCTATGTTCATTATGATAAAAGATTTATTTAAAAGAGAACGAGTTGTAAGGTACTTTAATTTGCTTTTTGGGTTACAAGAACAAGTTCTTTATATGAAATTCGAATGGTATGACAATTAGAGATTAGACTGTACAGAAATTGAAATCTACAGGTAAAGCTAATACACACTAAATACACGCACTCACGCAATGCTAATGTTATTAACGTCAACAATTTGAAAACAAAGTATAACAATAATAATAATTTGTCACGGTTTGATGTGATATGAGCTAACCGATCATTAGATTTAATCACCATTGGTAGCGTGATTTATT